CGAATTTATATTCCCCAAACTGTAAGAATCAAAAAAGAGGCAGAGAGCACTTTTTAAGTTCTCTCTAACCAAGGAGAAGACGTGTTGGGTCAATTCCAAAGAGAACCACCAGTAGGCTACCTACATGACCACTCCTCATGTGTAACAGCTTCATTGCTGTTAAGAATAAATAGAGGGGAGTCCGCAAGTGGTGGGATGGTTAAGGTGCTGAACTCCCACATGGCCAACTGTGGTTCAAGTTCTGGACCTGGCAGCTTGCTCTTGCACTTTCCCTTTTGCTTTCTGTCTCTCACTGGCGAGCACACCTTTATCTAGATGCTAACCATTTTTCTTTTCCATAATGGCCTTCAAGCTAGGTGCCTTTTGTGTTGTTCAACTACTCCCAAATCCATCTTTCATTTTCACAAGACTATAACCACATTAACCTCCCTGATGTGCCTGCTTCATTAGTCACTCCCTTGATTAGAATCCTATAATTCCTTAAGTTAGGATTTGTCTGTTTTCCTTCAGGAGGCTTCATAGCCTGACCTAAGCTGGTTTCTTATGCCATCCCTACATCATAGCATTTCTGCTACTCTGCATTTGTTCATTCACGTGATACTCCTAAGCCACCTTCTCTATTGCTGGTTACGCCATACTTTGACATCTCGACTTCTGCCATCCATTCATTCTCTCCACAAACATTTACCTTCTCTCCTCAAACATTCAAAGCACCTACCACACAACCAACACTGTCATGCAGGAGCTCACTTCTGCTTTATCAGAGACAGAAGGCAAGACAACTAATTGTATTTTAATGCAAATAAAGACTTGGTTCTGCTGTGAATCAACTATTGAGAAGGCAGAGAGAAGAAAGGCATGAGCTATCTAAATCAAAAGGTTTAATTCAGGAGCTAATATTTAATTTAGGTTTTCAAGGATGAAAAGAAGTCCAATAGATATAAGAGAGAGGTACTCTCTCAGGCAAAGGAGATAGTATGTGCTAATGTCATCTAGTTTACTTTTGCAATCTTTAGTCTTTCACACTTTGTGCTTACATCATGAAGCATACAATTTTAGTACTCAGGGCGAAAAATATATATTACATGTCCTGGACTATAAGCTTCTTGACAGGCTATTTTATATACTTCTTCTGAATCCTCGGTTCTTAGCACATCACTGGGAATCGGGTACACAGTAAGAACCCCAAAGATTTTGACATACTAATCTGATAATCTATCACTAATTTCTGTTTTCCTTAGTTCTTACATATGAGAAAAGGAAAGTGATATTTATCGACCATTGACTCTATGTCAGTTTATCTGTTTAAGCTTTAAATACATTGTTCCATTTAGGAAGATTAATCAGGCAGTAAGGGTGTTCTGGAAAATGCAGGTAAAAAAGGAAAACTAACCTAGAGGTCAATATAGCAAACCTGTAATGACTGAAGCAGGTGCTTCTGATGGGATCTGATTTCTAGGTACTAAGAGAGAAGGCAGAGGAGGACATTTTTTTGCTCCTGAGACCTCCACTGGGCAGTAATGATGTCTATACTTTATTGACTGCACTGTGCTAGGATTTATCAGAAACCTCTTAAAGAAGGCAGAATGTAACAGTGGAGGGAGCGTGAGCTTTCGTGGCTAGGGAAACTTCCCCATCCTGGGTCTGTACATTATTAGCTGTGTGACATTAGATAAGTTTCTTAAATTCTTGAAGTCTTAATTTCTTTCTCTCTATAGTGGATACAATAATAGATATGCCATAGGATTACACAAGATATTAGATGCAAAATACCTGGTATACAAAATGCTCAATAAACCTTCTTCTTTCTGTGTACAACTTGTTGGACCTAAAGAATGTGAATGTCCTACACATGACCAATTAAAACAAAAAACAAAAAACAAAACGCTTTTCTTTGGCAACATCCTAAAGTACAGAAATGTTGATTTGTCAAATATCAACTCCTGCTGATGTCACAGTAGTTGGTTATTCAGCTACTGTGGAAAATTAATATTGTTTACAGATGCTTCTATCTGCAAACTTTAAAACCAAGTCCAGATAGAGAAACTGTCATCTCTTAGAAATGAAGGAAATCAACATAATACCTGAAATTTTGAACTCCCTGGGTTCAATTCTTTTGCCTAAGTCGTTAGGCCACTTTCTCTTTTTCATTTTCCAAAAAGAGGCATTTTTTATACAGGAAGAAATTATTTTCTTTCTTAGTTTCAGCTAGAAGCATATTTATTATAATTCAACAAAGTTATATTCACTTATTCCAACTGAGAAATATTTAAGGATTTCATTATATTTGGAGAAATTTTTCATCAGAGATTTAGCAGTCACCAATTAATCTTTTAAAACATGGGTGTGACTTATACTCTCTACACTAAAAGAGGAGATTAAATAAAAGGGAGAACTATTCATAAACTATAATATTTCTTGAAAAAGAAAAACTGCTTTGTTTTCTTAAAGATAGAGTTGAGAATTTAAACGAAACTTACATGCTTGAAATTAGTGCCAGATGCAACACAATTTAAGAACGATTCATTGGCTGCATCAGGTATTTCACTAAGATTTAGTAAAAAGTACTCAACAATTCTATGTTTCATAGAAATCTCACAAATACAAGTATTTCATTCATAAAATGAATGGCTTTGGAAGTTTCCAGGGCAGGAATTTGCTGCAGGGAAGGTAAATTTATTGATTAAAATAAATCAAATGACTGACATTTTCCCTAGAAAACTGGCAAACAATACTATTCAGAAACTGAAAGTCTAACAACAGGAATCAGAAGAAAAGTCTTAACCATTATTTATGTTTATTACAGGAATCCAATAATGTCAGATGGTAAACAATCAAACACCTGAGAATTCTCAAATAACCCTTGAGGAACTTAATTTAAAAATATGTATTTTTGAAGTATGACTTTCTAAAAACCTTTGATACCAAATTTGGTGTTTTTAAGTCTTTGGACTATTCATAATTACATTCCACTTCTATCCCTTGCACAGTATATATAATAAATAATGAACATTCTTTTTTTTTTTTGGAGAGATTTTCACTATAGGGAGTGTGCGCTCGCCAGACAGAGAGAGACATAGAGACAGAAAGCGAGAAGTCACCCCCCAGGGGGGATGGTCACACAGCAATCCCTTCTCCTCCATTCTCCTCTCGGGATATTGGGCACACACGCACATGCGCCCGGGATGAGTTCTAAGCCACCTGGTCCAAGATGCGAACCGCGGTGGACTACGTGGGAGTCCAGCGACATAGCCATTATGCTAACTGCTGGTTCCCAATAATGAGCATTCTTTAACTAACTATAAATAGAAACAATTCAGATAGTTCTAACATGCCAACATTACATTACTTTCTTATTACTTCATTCCACATTTCTGCTCTCTCTTTCTCCATTTGAGTCATACTTCTACCATCAAAATTATGGAAAAAAATGTGTGTGTAAAAATATGTGTGTACGCTCAAAATTTATATATTGAAGCCTTAATCCATGGTATGATTTTATGTGAAGATAGGACTCTAAAGAATTAAGGTTAAAGAACAGAGCCTTGGTTAGATAGGATTAATGTCCTTAGAAGAGAGATACCAGAGAGGGAGACCAGAGAGCGCAAACAAAGAAGTCATGTCAGCAGAGGGTGATGGCACTGCCTGCAAGCAAGAGAAGGCCTCAGAACGAAAGGTACTTTGCTAGAAAGTTGATCTTGGACTTCCTAGCATACAGATGTGTGAGAAATATTTTTTTGTCATTGAAGCGACACAGTCTGTAGTATTTTGTTATGGCAGCGCAAGGAGACTAAAACAATTTAAAAACCCAGTGCCAAAAGCTACAACAGTACTTTTGTACACAACCTTTCTTTATTCACTTAAGTTTTATAGAATTTGGATTCAAGGAAAACCTTATTGAGAATTTGTACAGATTTGGCCAGGAGAGTTTCATATAGACCCTCAAATCATTCAACCTACCTTCTACTCTAGAAGCAGAGAATGTGAGCATGAGAAGGGCCCTCAGTGACTCAAGCTTGCCAGTTAAGATTTTACTACGAGATTCTGGGGATATAGAAAACTACTTCGTAAGCTTGGCACATTTTCTGGAAAACCTCAGAGGTTCGATGGTGCAGTGGGTAAAGTAGTAGGCTTAAACATTTGTTAAGTGCTAAATTGAGATGTATTATCGAATGGAATACAAAATTTTTAATACCTTTTTAGAACACTTCAAAAAAAAGTCCTTTTTGATGTTAAGTTCAACAACTGTCCAGCTATCTGCAGAGGTAACACAAGTGCCTTGCAAGACTAGAAGTTCTATAGCTTACTGAAGTTTGGATCCCTGGGTTGACATCAAACCATGCTAAACAGAGAATCCTTAAGACCTAGAGGACCAGGAAAGAGACCACTGCATGAGGGAACCCTACGAAGGTGCTTTTCTCTCTCTCCTCATGCATGTGTGCTGTCATGAAAAATAAACAAACAAAAAAACTAAAACAAAATTACTGTGGGCCAAGTCATGTGCTAAAGGCTTTAGGTATACATTTTTATATATTCATCACAACACAAGAAAGTAGTATTCTTAATCTATTATTACAGAACACTGTCTTGGGACATTGAAGCATTTCTAAAAGAGCCATTCTCGAGTCCCTATCACATTTTGCTGTTTTACTGTCTTCACAGGGCTCTCTTCTCGTATCTTCCTTATCTCAGGTCGCCCCCTCCGCTACCCTTCACGTCAACTTGTGGACTAGGCCGCGGGGCGGGCGGGTCTGCGAAGCCGCTTGGACTCTGTCACCAGACGGTTATCGCGAGTCCAGACGGAGTTCCACTAACAAGAGGGGGGGCACGGCGTTTAGAACAGAGTGTGGGCGTTCACTAACTATATAGAGAAAGGGAGGAAAGAAGGGGCAAGAAAAGTGAGAGAGAACCATTCCCTGAAGGGCTTAGAGCGCGTCTCCAATGAGTCTCGGTTTTCGCAGAAGGAACTAAGTTCAATTCCCAGTGAGCACTTTCCTCACCTCGACGCACCGACGTACGCTTGGAAAGGAAAATGAACAAAGCCTTAAAAAAACGTTGAGAAGAAAGAGAAAAACGGTGAGAGAAAAGAGAAAAGAAGAAAAGGGCAATTTCCTCCTTCAGGCTGACTGAAAAGGAACCAGAGCGACGACGGTTACCATGGCGACCCGAGGCCCAGAACAACGCCTGCCCATTGGCTGAGACGCTAGAACCAATGAGAAGGCGCAATGTTGACAGGCTCTTAAAATGGCTGCCGGGCGGCCGCTTCCTGACCGTTGAGTACGGCTTATCGCCGGGCTGGTTCCGAACGGGTTGCTGATCCGATGTAATGGATCCGGGAGGGCTCGCTCGGGGCCGTCGAGGGGGTCGGCATGGACAGTGTCACAGGTCCTCGGCGAGCCGCCGGGAGCGGGCTAGAAAAGCCCCCAGCCTGGGCCCCGGGGAGCGACTGGGGGCTGCCCTCCGCTTAGCTCCAAAGGGGCGTCGCGGCGCCCCTCCCAGCTTGGGAGTAGGTGAGGGTTTCTCTGGCCGACCCCAGCCAAAGTGCGAAGAAGGGGTGAGGAGGCTTCCGATTGGGGGAACTCGCTCATGTTTACCATTGATGTATCCCAGAAAAACAGCTGCAGTTTCTGGGCATGGCAGCAGGCTAGACAGGCCTACGCTGGAGTCTGCAGCGCTCAGTTCTGTGCCTGGGAGGGGATTCTTCCCCTTCTGGTACTGGAGTGTGACAGAGAGCCAGACAGCCAGCCTGCAGAGTTCCGGGGTGTGCAGACAAGCGGGAAAAGGTGTACCTTTGTAGAGCCGCTCTCTTGCAATCTTGAACCTTGTAAGTATCCTCACAGCGACATCAACTTAACGATCCTTGAAATGTGACTGGTTAGTTGTTAATCTTTTCCATGCTGGATTTTGGGTCTGGGGCAGTGTTTTCCAGGCTTCGTTATAAACACGCTCTTTAATTGAAAAAAAAAATGCATACACGCCAATCCTGCTGGATATGAGAGGTCTTCAAAATGTTCTTGGAAAATGCGCATAATGCAAAAACTTGCATGGATTTAAAATTTTGAGGGGCCCTGAAACTCGTACTGAATCCCGTTTTTCCACGAAGTTTTTGAAGGCTCATCCTGGTTTATTTGGATAACCAGATTGGCAGCTTAAATGTGAACTCAGACTGTGATTCAGTTGTACTTTCTGTACCTTTTTAAGAAAAGGAAACATATTTATTTCATCAAAGTAAATAGGACATTTGCATTAATGACGTTGCATGTTTAAAAATAATGAACTAATTCTAAGTCACAGTAACTGATTATCGTGTAAATTATGTAATAAAATCTTTAGACTTGTGAGTGGTGGCATGTGATTATTTTAGAAGTAAGATTAAGTTTAGACAAGGTTTAGATTTTTGCTATTATTTTCTAATTGAAAGCAAAACATAGGGGATAAAACTTCACTTGATGAAAGTGGAATTCAAATATGGGATATTGGAGACAGGAAACATTTACCTTTGAGCTAAATATGGAATATTGGAGACAGGAAACATTTACCTTTGAGCTGTTCAGATTTTACCTTTTACATTTTGGTTATAAGCAGCTGCCTAATCTTTCAGAAAATACTAATATCACTTAAAACTCTGAATGTGACTTTGATGTATACATGTTTATGTACTATACTTAAAATGTACAGAAAAATTATTCTTAATCAAATTTCAACAAGTCTATAATTACAGGCTAGAATATTATTCTTCAGACCCATTCTCAAACCTTTGTCTTCAAGAATATTGTTACCTCTTATAACTCAGCCTTCTAAAAGTTTATAACTGAGAGCCATAAAGTCCTATTTTTGATAAATAAGCAGATTGCAATGCTTTAAGTAAGTCAGTTACCTCATCTGTGAAAGGGGTATAGATAGTAATTCCTGGTGGAAGGGTTTTTGTGATGATGAATGGTGAACCAGCATCTGCCGCATTACTTGTATGCCGTATGTAGCAGTGGCCTCCTTTGTTTTCTCTTCCTGGTTCTGTTTCTTCTGTGCTCTGTTGTAACTGGGATTTCTTCCCTTTCTTGGTGACCTGAGGTGCAGAGCTATTCAGACTAGTAATATTGGCTGAATTGCTAGGTAAAGGAGAGAAACCTTGTCTACTGAAATTCTGAGGTTTAAGCAGGATTGCATCTTAAAGAGAATGGAGTGTTACTGCAAGGGACTGATCATTTAGGGCACTTAGAATATTAAGATTATCAAGAAATATTTTAGCACTGCCCGACTTCTCAGAGATCATCTGATCATCAAACCTTCATTTTTATAGCTTAATGGAGACCCAAACAAATGTAGTGGCTTGTCCCTAATCATGCTGCTCAGGATTGGAAACCACTTTCTGACTTTTGAGACAGTGTCTCCCTCCACCCCATAACTAGGGTTCCCAATCCTTGCATAATCTAGAACCCCCTTTATTATAATTTGCTATCTTCCTGGATGCTATTTTAAAAGGTCGTATCTACTAAAAACTATGTTCATTAATTGTTTTTCTTTAAGAAATCAGACCTATACCCAAGTCTTTGATATAGGTAAAGAATAATGCTTCATTGAATGTAAGTCTCCTCATGTATAGGTCGATGATACAATCTCACTGGGAGGAACTATAAAATAGGAGATTTTACAATATTGAAATTAGCTTAGAGATTCCCTTTACAGACTTAATAAAACCTTGCATTAATAAAAACCTTACATTAGGAACCTCTGAACTGTGCCCTGTTATTTGCACAAGTGTACTAAATAACTCTGTAATTGGTCTTCAGGAGTGAAAGAAAAGCTAGCTATTCAGACTAGGATGAAACATCACTATTTTCACGTCATATTAAATTGTATCAACCCAGGACTAGATATGTTCTACATAGTACATACAGAATATTTTTATAGAATAATCATGTGATAGAATAAATTTTAACTCCAGATGTGGAAGATGTATGAAATGAAGAAGGTGATATTCAAAACCATAGAGAAGAAAGGGATTTTGAATCATTTACATTTTCCTTGGGGCTAAAATAATTAAAAATTATTTGGGTTACGGGCTAAAAACTGAAAGCGTATGAATTAATAACATTGACTTATATAGACTTGGCTATAATCTACATGAAAAAAAAATTAAGTTTCTGTTTCTCCGGTGTTCCACATCTCTTGAGAATGCCTGAGTGAATTTTCACAGTTAAAGGGTGATTTTGGATTATCTGCTTTAAAATAAAGAAACACACTCCGAAAGGCATGAGTAAGAGACACTTCCAAGATATAAAGAATCATCCTCCAGAGCAGCCAAAATAGGAATAACAGGAGGCCTACCATCAGAACTATATGAATGACATGTATATGCTATGAATAGAAGGCCTGTTTTCAAAGTCACTCCATATTGGCTGATTTACAGTGAGCGGCTGCTGACACAGACAGCTCCGATTTGCAGACTCTACGGTGCTGGGCAGCAGTTCCTTATGTGTTCATCAGTGGCTTTGGAGTCTCCACTGTATTTTTGTTTGTTTTTCTCTGTTTATTTAGCAGTCATAGGGAAATGACACGTTTCTTAAATATTTCAAGAATAGATAGAATTCAGAAACATACCTTATTTGAATTTTGCCTTATTTTATGGGTTTGGAGATGGTTCCACTTTTTAAAAGTTCTAATTTTTATTTTTTCTGTGGGTACACCCAAGAAATTATTGTATCAGTCAAATGCCATGTTGAGGGCAGTTCTTTCTTTTTTCAATTTTTTTTTTCAATATTTTTTTTCCTTTTTTTCAGACAGAGGGAGAGAGAGGATGACCAACACCCTCAACAGGGCCTCATGCCACAGCACCCCCATATCTCCAACATTTCATCCATCCAGGATGAAGGGAGTGCATGTATACAAACTTATTTATAGGTCGACTGGAAGTGATCCTCTGTCTTCCATATGGCTTCTTCCAACATTGCAGCTGGGCCAAAGGCAGTTCTTAATACCATATCAGCAGGGGCTAAAGGTAGATAATTTTGAAAAAGTCCAAAAAAGCTATTTATAAAATCAATTAACTACTTAAAGGCTGATGAGTAAGGGTATGTCCTCTCCAGGGAAACTGAGACTGCCTCTGGGGGAAGTACTTTTAGGTGCCCAGATCATAGACTGGCACCCTGCAGAAAGGCTAAAACGGTGGCCCAGTGGGCAGACCTGTGCCCCTACCTATTTGAGAGGCACATGCCATTGATGAGCAGTCACATCTAAAGGCCAGGCTGGTGATACTCATCTATATTGATAGAAACTTGCCATGTTCATAAATGTCACTCATTGAAGCTAGGAATTTTTGCCTGTTTTATGTACTTTTGTCCTTGAGGTCTTGGAGCGAGCCTGGTATACAGTGGGCATGTAAAAGATGTTAGGGACAGGAAAAGAAGCAGTAATTTATAACATCTATTCTAAGAAGTCTAAATCTGGAATCTATTACTGTCCTTAGTCCTTACATGAATAATGAGTGTAAAGGTATATTATATGCCAGTGGCAAAGCCTTGTAGCTTACT